GTGACTCATGTAGAGCACGCGACGCGTTCCAGGGCGAGTGCAGGCTGAGATTAACGGAGCAGTCGTCGGCGTCCCTGGCTGCACCATCCCGGAGACAACCCAGCATCCCAGTCTGGTCAGGTGCACCATATCGCTGCACTTGCCCCAAACCCGCGAGCCGAGCCGTCAAGTCCCGACCGGACCTACTGCCTGCCGCACGTCATTGCCACATCTCGTCCGCTCCTGCACGAAACCCCCCAAGCAATGTCCGACGTCTCTCTCGACTCCAAGCTCTTCCACTCTCGAGCGAGTCGGCTGTTTGAGAATTGGAACGTAGGTGACCGATCTTGCGGACCTTTCTGCCAAACCCCCAAAGCTGACCGCTTTGCCACCTCGGCTCCTCGCAGAACGCTTCCCGGGATGTAGACCTCAAAGACCTCGCAGGCGTCCATGGAATCTGCGTCGTCGTCGGTGATGCGGAAGAAGACTCGGGGACGATGAAAAAAGGTGTTGCGCTGCAGACGTGGCTCCTCGGCTACGAATTCCCGTCGACCATCATCACGTTTACCAAAACGTCTCCGACGCACCGCAAAATCATCATCCTGACATCACAGTCCAAAGCCAAGCTGCTGACCCAGATCAAACCGACGGCGAGTACCGAGATTGAGGTGATTGTTCGACCGAAAGATGCCGCTGGTGGTGCGAAAGCTACTCGGGACTATGTGGAAAAAGTCGTCGACGCGACGGCTGTCGATGGCGAGACTGTAAACTTTGGTCATTTCGTCAAGGATCAGCCCAAGGGAAAATTGGCCGAGGACTGGCAAAAGTTGACGAAACAAGATGGCGCCACCATTGCCGGGAAAACATTTGAATTCGTCGACGTGACCGCAGGAGTCTCGGTCGTCCTCGCTTCCAAAGACGAAAAAGAACTTGAGTTCACAGCGACCGCTTCCCGCCTCTGTTCCACGATCATGACACATTACTTCAAGCCGAAAATGGAGAGCATTATTGACAAGGAGACCAAAGTGGCACATGAAAACTTGGCAATGATGATTGAAGAAAAGCTGGGTAGCGAGGGGAAAGAGCCGGATAAGAAGATTTGGAACAAGAACAAGCAGCTCGGACAGGTCGATTTCGGTCATTCAGACTGGGTGTATACACCCATCATCCAGAGTGGCGGCAAGTACGATCTCAAGGTCTCTGCCGAATCGAATGCGGATCCCATGACGAGCGGCGTCATCCTCGCTAGCATGGGTATCAAATACAAGGACTATTGCAGCAACATTGGACGAACGTTTATCATTGGGCCGCACAAGAGCCAGGAAGCGAATTACACGTTTTTGCTTGATCTTCAACAGACGGTTTTGAAGAATATGAAAGCCGGTACGCCGATCAAGCAGGTACACCAGATCGCCATCGACTATATCAAGCAGAAAAAGCCTGAACTCGAGGAACATTTCGTCAAGACGCTCGGGTTCGGCACGGGAATTGATTTCCGGGACAGCTCCTACCTGATCAATTCCAAGAATGAGCGAACGCTTCGTGAAAACATGATTTTCAACGTCTCCCTTGGGTTCCAAAACTTGCCGGATCCGAAACACAAGGGCAAGACATATGCGTTGCTCTTGACGGATACCGTTCGTGTGGGCAAAGAGACGGGTGTGTTGTTGACCGAGGGTAGTAGAAAGGTCAATGAGGTCATGTTGGATGAAGATGTCGACGAGGCATCGGAATCCGAAGAGGAACAACGATCTTCAAAGGCCAACAACAAGAAACCGGCAGAAAACGCCAACAAAACGTCAGGCTCTCGTCGTCTGGGCACCGGTGAGCCTGCGCCGCGAGGCGTCGTCGTCGGCAGCAAAGTACTCCGTGCCAAGACGCGAAACCAGGGCCGCGAGATCGATGAAACAAAGTCTGAAAAAATGAAGCAGCATCAACGGGAACTACACGAAATGCTGAAGAAAAAGGGATTGGCCCGGTTTAAGAGTGGCGATGGCAAAGCCGGAAACGAGGGCAAAACGTTCAAGACATTTGAAAGTTATAAGCGGGAAGAGCAGCTCCCGAACGCCATCAAGCACAAGAGGATCTATGTCGATGAACCGAGAAACACGGTGGTGCTCCCCATCTATGGCTTTGCTACGCCGTTCCACATCTCGACAATTAAGAATGTCAGCAAGACCGAGGAAGGTGATTATACAGTGTTGCGAGTCAACTTCCAGTCTCCCGGCCAAATTCTTGGTCGTAAAGAGGATACGGTGAGTGTGTGCGCCGTAGACACGGATGACTAGAGCTAATGTGGGACCTGTAGCCATTCGAGGACCCCAATGCGACGTTTATCCGATCAGCGACTTTCCGTTCGACCGATCATGCACATATGCAAAAGGTTTCTGAACAGATTACGAATCTACGCAAGGCTCAGAACAAGCGTGAGAATGACAGGAAGGAACTGGCGGATGTTGTGGAGCAGGAAAAGCTTATCGAGATCAAGGGTATGTCTGGGCTAATAGGTTACCACGCAGGACACTGACTCCGTGCGGCGACAGGTCGACGACCACACAAGCTGATCGACGTTCACATCCGACCTGCTCTGGATGCCAAGCGTATCGCTCCGGGAGAGGTCGAATTACATGCCAATGGTCTCCGCTACTATGCCCAAAATGGCAACAAAGTCGGTGAGTAGATGCGGCGGTTCCTGGCTGCGAACCTGTAGCTCACGCATTCGACTCCAGACATCTTGTTCAGCAACATTAAGCATCTGTTCTTCCAGCCGTGCGACAACGAGCTGCACGCCATCATCCATGTTCATCTGAAAGCACCCATCCTGTTGAACGGCAAGAAAAAGGCAAAAGATATTCAGTTTATCCGGGAGACTAGCGATGCCATGCACGATGAGACGGGTAACCGCAAGCGAAAGGCACGGTACGGAGACGATGACGAAATCGAGCAGGAACAGGAAGATCGTAGAAGACGACAGCTTTTGAACCGCGAGTTCCAGGGATTCGCGGCCAAGATCCAGGAGACGGCGGAGACGCAGGACTATCAGTTCGAAGTCGATGTGCCCTTTAGAGAACTTGGGTTCAATGGTGTACCGTACCGAAGCAACGTTCTCCTTCAGCCTACGACCGACTGTCTCGTCAACCTGACAGACCAACCTGTCCTCGTGATCACCTTGTCCGAAGTCGAAATCGTACACTTGGAAAGAGTACAGTTCGGGTTGAAAAACTTTGACATGGTCTTTATTTTCAAAGACTTTTCCCGCGCGCCCGTGCACGTTAACACAGTGCCCGTCGAGTCGTTGGACGACATCAAGGAATGGCTAGAGTAAGTGGGTGGAGGGATAAACGAGGTGGGGTCGTTTCTAACGTGGATGCTTGTAGCTCGATCGACATCCCATTCTCCGAGGGCCCCGTCAACTTGTCCTGGCCGGCGATCATGAAGACCGTCCAGGAAGATCCCAAAGAATTCTTCCAAGAAGGTGGTTGGGACTTTTTGGGTGGCGGAGGTGATGCAGTAAGTCGCGCGTCTGTGGGGAACGGCGAGGTTTGGGTTTTTGCTGACGCTTATCTGTAGGATGATGGCGAGTCGGATTCGGAAGAGGAATCAGTGTTTGAAGCCGACAGCGATGTCATTGACGAAGAGTCTTCAGAGAGCAGTGACGATTCCGATGGTGCGTCCTCTTCTAGGTTGCGCTTGCTTGGTCTGACCTCATTCGCTTTTCTTACAGCTTTCGAGGAATCCGAGAGCGATTCCGGATCGGATGCGGATGATTCCGAAGGGGAAGACTGGGACGCGCTAGAGCGAAAGGCCGAGAGGGATGATCGCAAGTTCAAGGAGGCCCATGGTGACGATTCAGGGGACGAAGGGCGAAAGGCTTCGCGAAAGAAGAATGGAAAGCGGTGATCCGTTGTACAAAGATGTGGAGAACACGTGCACTCTTATTTTAGACGGATCTTCATCTGTTCGATTGACAGGTATGATAGGCCCAGCCCTGAACCGCCACGCAACGGTCTAGTATGCTCTATGACTACTCATTGATTGTTGTGATTATACAAGTGACATTTCCCTGTTGGCTGCGGCGGAATCTACTTTTTCTTAGGTCCTCCCAACGGCTGACCAATCGATTTCGGGTCACCTCGAAGCTTGACACCGAGCACCCTTTCGATCTTTGCCAACAAAGCCGTATTCGGGACCGCCCTGCCGCTCTCGTAATCCGCAATCACCTGAGGCTTCTCGTTGATCTTTGTCGCCAAGTCTTTCTGACTCATGCCCTTGCCCGCTGCATCCTTCTTGTCCGATCTGGCTTTGGCGATAGTCTGCCCGACAGACTTGCTCACCGTCTCGGGCGGCTTGACTTCGTTCTCCCGGTCCAGCTTGGCTATTGCCTGGTAGTTGGCAGGACCTTTGGCGGCCGTCGTGTTGGTTCCCGCGACTCGGTCTTTAGCAGAGGTGGAAACGGCGATACCCATGCGTTTGGCAGCGTTGACGGCGGATTCGGATTTGGTGACGGTCGCGTGGTTTTTTTGACCGCCTCGGAGAACGGTGACTTTGTCCCACTCTTCAGACTATGGAGCAATAGGTTAGCAAAGCGTGTCGGAAAGAGCGTGAGTGCACGTACCATTCTGGCTATTTAGATAAGGTTGGTGGGAGTTGCGGATGTGGACGATAGCGTGCCTGGGGATCGAACAGGTCGTGTGAGCAATGGTAGGACAAAAGGGATTGGCGACGTCTGAACCGCCAAGGAACGAGATACTCACAAGAAGATGCTTATGCGTTGCGTGGGGTGTAGGATTGCTTGTGGCGGTGTGGCGACGTTCCGGGAGATGAACGGTCGACATGGCAAAGACGATGTTGAACCCAATGACGGCTCCGATCGCTCGCTCTGCACTGGTTTCGTCATTGCCTGTGCGCTAAGTTCCCTTTGTTCGAGGAGATTCGATAAAGTGGAGGCGGAGGGAGGAAGCGCATGGGAAGTGCCAGTCATGATTGTCCTTATTCTAACCAAAACAAGCCCAACATCAAATGCTCCTATAGTTCAGTGGAAGAACGTGTGCTTAACAACGACCGACGTCGCTTGAAACGCACAAGGTCGTGAGATCGAAACTCACTAGGAGTACATCTTTTTTCCCTTTCTTTTTTCGCTCGCGTTGATCCATTTTACTCGGAGGCATGAGACGGACCCTTGCAAGGTGTGCTTCGAAGCGTCAGGAGCTTTTTATGTGCTTGTTCGTTTATGAGGGTCCACCACTGACTTCAGGCACATGACTTTGTGGTACGGCATACGATCAGGTCCGAAAACGATGCTTTACATCGCTCGAATGGCGTGAAGCGATGCTTGTCGGTCCGGTGACGATCGTGACACCCTCGGCTAGCTTCGTCGCACTTACTGGATCTACTAGTGATACCCAGCGGCGAAGTTGTCCCACTAGTCCACCATACAACTTGAGGACCCTTGTTCCTGCCTGAAGCAGCTCCTGAAGGTCTGCCAGCGTTGTTGGCTGTGTTGTTTCTTCAAATTCTTCCTATGACGTATTCGGCCCCACAATCTGCACAACGGATTCAAACCAACAACTTCTCCCTCCTATACCCCCTTGTCTCAGATGCCGACCACATGTCCGAATTTGCTATCACCTCCTCGGGCGTTTTCGACTGCGCCGGACTGTTCTACTGCTGTTCCATATGGAGCTCCCTTCATGTAGTGACAGTAGGACAGCTGGTAAAAGGCTTGCGACCGACACGGCATGGTTTCCGTTCCATGAAGAACCCGAAGAACACAGCAGCTGATTGTCGATGTCTAGCTTTCAGTTAGCACCTCCGTTTATAACCTGCAGACCGACGTTCTCCCGAGCACTTCTTTTGGCACTCCTCACACCATATGACAGCAGATCTGCTGCCTTTCATACTGTTACCAATCTACTACATATACCAATGTGGCCGGCACTCTGTCCACCGATTCGCGCATGGTCGCATAATCGCACGTCGAGTGGTAGTGATCCCCCTGGATAACGACCGACACCATGCTTCTACCAGCCGTCTGGAAATCTCTCGGCTTCTTGTCATCCACTCTATCCGTTGCCTGCGCTATAGCGTTGCCCGACGCCTCCCTCCTGCAACAAGGACATGTGTCACACTTGTTCACTCGGGAAACGATCGCAACAAGCAACGCAAGCTCGTCTACATCGTTCAACCCGAAGAACATCCTTGCCAACGTCTCCTTTGTCGGGTATGACAACTATGCCTACCGGGACGATATCGTGGCGGCGCAGATGGTCATTTCTGCCAATGCATCCGCTACAAAGCCTTCCAGGCTAATTGTGGCGTTTCCCCAAGGCAACACGGGGTTTCTCACCTACTTTATCCCCTCCAACAGCTCGACATCAACGCCTCTGCAAGTCGTCCCGGATATCAAAACTTTGACGTCGGTCACGTTCGCCGAAGCCTCGACGAAGAATGGCACAAACCAGACAGGCGTCGCCTGCAACCTCTCCTTCAACGACGACATGTCCCTAGGCGTCACTCTAATAGGATCGATCCGGACCGTACGAGATTATACGGAAGGCGCTGGACTCACACATAAAATTTTCAACTATACCCTGGGCGCGTACAATGAATCCTCCTTACAACTCGTCCGAAAGTGGATCAATGGCTCGACTGTTCAGTACCTCACGTTTCAGGCAAACACAAACGCCCGCTTCGCAGTGACCCCGAACCAGAATATTACACTTCCGCCTTCGGTAACTTTTGAAAGAATCGACAAAAGCATGAACGGGTCCATGAGTTTTAGCACTACGTTCAACTATACGGATCTGCCACTGTTGGCAAAAGGATTGGATGCCGATAGTCTGTTCCTGAGCCAAGTTCCGAGCAATGGGAACAGCAGCGCAGCTCTAGCCAAGGTCATCAACGCTCTGCAGGGCACCAATAATTCCTCGAGCGGTATGTCGGGAAATTCAACCTTGAAAGCCGCGAATGCCTCCGGTCCCCCGGAAGTTCGCCAGGTGTCCTTTTTGACGTATGAAGACAAGTTTCTGGCAGGTGGCTGGCGGTTCTTGACTTGTAGGTCTCGCTAGATATCATGACCCATGCATGAACTAATCTCTCTTTTGAAGACTTTGGTCGGGACACGCTCTTGACACTCCGACTACTGCTTCCCACGCTCACGGCTACAGCCTCGGAAGCAGTACTTACCGGAGTGATGGAACGCCTGAACGGTACGGGTTTGGTCTGTCACGAGGAAACGGCAAGTCGCATCCAAAGCCAATGGTGTCTGACGGTTCTAAGTGTTTGTCTTCCGAATAGATTGGCGACTACGCCTCATTCGCCAACATCCAGAACAACCAGTCGGACCTCGGTGCTTCTCCCGTTTACAACTATGTCATGGCGGACACCGATTACCTTCTCTTACCCTCCGTTTCGCACTACTTTTTGTCGACGCCCCAAGGGGCCAACAGGTCCGCAGCTTTCCTCGGCAGAAATGCCACGCTGCAGAACGGCACGTACGAGCAACTCTTGCTTCGAAATATCGACCATGTGCTGAACATGTCCAAGCCGTTTGCGAGCAACTCGAGCTGTCAGAACTTGGTGGCGATTAGAGACCCCGTGGTTGGTAATTGGCGGGACTCGACGACGGGACTGGGCTTTGGCAAGATTCCGTTCGATATTAACAGTGAGATGTTTCTCAAGGTGCGCTACTGAGCAATTAATGACAGCGTTCTTCTAGCCGCCTTTGTGCCTTCCGCTCTTAGGGCCATCGTGGATCTAGCAAATGCAGGTGTCATTCCTGCCAACTACTCCACCACAGCCGGCTCTATGATTGGCATCTGGGAATCCGCGGCCTCGCCTTGCTTTGAAGTGAACATCTCTAGTGAAGACGCTCAGTCCCGACTAAACAACTATGTTCAACAAGCAAATCTCAGCCAAGCCTTGCTCAGCGGTGCGAGCGGTCTCAACTCCAGCAGCGGCAACTTGACCTTTTACGCATTGAGTCTGAATGCCGACGGTTCCCCCGTAGAGGTATGTCGAGCTGACCGTATAAGTCACTTGAATGATCACTGATGGCTGGGCGTAGATTCTCAATTCGGATCTGGGGTTCACTCTTCTATACGCCAACAATGTTTCGCCAAGCATCCTGCAAGCCACCGTAAATGCACTTCAACCATATCCAAAGGGTAAGCCATGCCAGAGTCAATTGCTCCATCCTGATGCTGAGCCAGTCCGCTTCTTGGCACAGGCTTGTTAACCAATGTTGGAATGGTGGTTGCCAATGCCGCCTATGATGTGAATACGACCAACATCAAACTATTTGACGAAACCGCGTACCATGGAGCCGTCGTGTGGTAAGTTTGTTGGATGCTATACCGCTATCTGACAAGAGCACTCACGAAAGTCCAACAGGTCATGGCAACAAGCCTTGATGGCTGCCGGTCTGGCCAAACAGCTAGATCTATGTGGTTTAGCGAACGGAACCAACGTCGATTACCCGGAACGATCACTCGCGAATAGTGTCCCTGCGTGGTGCAACACCTCCCTCGCCGCCGATCTGCAGGGCGCTCAAACGAGGTTATGGGAAAGCATCGGGGGTTCATCTTCCGGTAAGTCTATCGCGCAACGTCAGTGCCGTAGGCGAGCAACTAAGATCCCCTCCTCCCGCATGGGCCTTCTCACAGCCCTGTTTAGCGAAGTGTATTCCCCGCTGTACGACAATACCACCAACTCGTTCACAATCGGTGATCTCGGGGCGATCTCGCCTACGGGGACAGAAGGCGATGCTATTCAGCTCTGGGCGTATGCGTTCTTGGCTGCTGTGGACCCGCGCTCGGGACGGCCTGTAGCGTCCGGACTTGCATGATAGTGCCGTTGCGTATCTGCGTCGGATCAGATGTGTGTTTAAGATTCGGGGAGGCGCAGGGATGACGACAGGTAGACTTTCCTATAATGTGCCCATGATGAACGGCAAAAGTTGTATGACAAGAAACGAAAGCAGGCTACGGCGCGTGCGCTCAACCTGTAAAAAAGGACAAGAAACGTATAACCGCGAGAGAATTCTCGGAGCGGCTCAGGCACATCATCGTTGCCCAGTCGTTTGAATGAAATTTCTTGCATTGAGGAATGAAAGCGAAAGGGGGCAGTACTTGTACAATTAAAAAAACCACAAAACGAAACCAGATTTACGCGATGAACAACAAGTTGCAGTCCTGAAACACCGAAAGAAAGCACGTTATGAGTAAGCGTCCCATAGTTACATCCGACCGAGGCGGCTAGGCGGGCATGGGTCTCTCTTACCATCGGATGACTCGAAGACAACTGCGGCTTCTGCGAATACTTGTTCCTCAGCTCGTCCCGCAGCGAATTGAGCAACTGCATGTACGACTGCTGCGGGTACCTCGTCAACGCCGTGATAAACGCCTAAAAAAAAGGTGAACGAAAACGACGTGAGAAAAGCGCGATGAGTTGCTCAGGTGCCCAAGTCACTGTGCGCGAGAAGAAGGGAAAACCTACATATGACATGGCGCCGGTGGCTTTCGCAGCGATGCTCGTATCCGCGCTCTACACACACCCACACACGAGTCAAACGCAGGTCAGGACGACGTTGCCGATCCGCCGGCGGTCGCGGGTCGTACGCGCCGCGCGCATGTATAAGAAAAGGAACGTACCGTCTGGTCGTCCTTGCACCCGGACCAGGAAACGACGTCCGCTGGGCTCGTCTTTGTTCTAATACCGCGAGCGCGAGCATGTCAGTCCCGCACGCACGCACGAGCAAGGAGGGCGGAGGGACGATAAAAGGCAGGTAGGAGCGCGGGACGTACTGTTTTGCCTTTTGCGTCGCCCCAGATTGAGAATTGATAAACTGTTTCCCGAGTCCCATCAGGCCGCTCATCATCCCGCCCACGTCACCCTTTAGGTAGCTGACGCCTGCCGACATGAGTCCTTGGCCCGCCTCGGCGAGGAGGTTGGGTTCCTTGATTTTTCCTTCGGTTGAGTAGATGTACGGCAAGTCCAGGGCGCTGCCAGAAGAGGGGGGGGGGTTAGTATCGGACGCTCGGTGAGTATAGAGTACAGACGTACCTCGCGGAATGACAGCTGTCAAAGATCGCCGTCAACCTACACCCGGCGGGC